TAGTATGTAACCACAGTGTAAGTACACATTGGTACATAGTATCTACAGCTCTAATGTTTGTGTAACTACACATATGTAACAACCCACTGAATGGTATGTGTAAATACAAATGTTTAACAGGACATTGGTAACAACAGTTTTTGGTAAAGAAAGTGTTACACTTTATATTAGATTTATCATGTAATTACTCTGATGTTACACAGCAGCGGCCAGTAAGTTAGGCTTTACATATAAAATGTGGTTGGTGTCCAGAATGTTACACTTTATATTAAGTGGACAGTTTCTGAGGAGTTACCATGTAAGTACACTGGTATTACATTGGTGCACCAACTCCAACTCGAGATCCAACTCCTCCCACTTTGCATATCCATAAACCTACCAATCTCCACCCCCTGGATCCCATTTCCACCCCTAAACCTACCCATCTCCACCCCCTGGATTCCATTTCCACCCCTAAACCTACCCATCTCCACCCCCTGGAGCAAATGGTTCCAATTACTCTTATACATGTTGTTACAAAATGTAGTTATATAATTCCTGTTACACGAGTACTTAGTGAAGTGAAAAAAATGTTGTTACCAATGTCCTGTTACACATTTGTACTTACACAAACCATCCTGAGGGTTGTTACATGTGTGTAGTTACAGAAATATTACAGCTGTAGATACTATGTACCAATGTGTACTTACACTGTGGTTACATACTATGTACACATGTAGTTACTATGCAAGTACACAGGTATTAGGGACACCTAATATAAAAGCACCCTAGCCTAAGTAATAAAGAGCCGATCATCACAGTACAATGTTTTGGACTAGGCTACAACAGGTTCATGCATTGCTGCATTTTAAGAGTTTGTCTTGCATGTGTTTCATGGGAAGTTCTTGTCTTGGCGGGTGCAGCCCTTAAATTGACTTTGGTTTCACAAGTTGTCTGTAATGTGTTCCATTGTGTTCTCTGCTGATGGATTTACTTCTTTACTGAAAGGAAGTGGTCACTTTAAAATAGTACAAATCGTCCCCTTGGAATTATAAGGTTGTATCTGACATTTTCGTCAAAATTGAGTTATTCACATATTCTTATTCTGTGACAATTTATTTACATTATGTGACAGATTTTTTAATGTTGTGTACATTTTGGGACTTTTTATTTAAAAAAACAAAAAGGTTCTATCTACACAGTCGAACGGAATGCCAAAACTTTGAAGCTCAATATCTCAAAACTACTCGGAATGCAGATAGAACCTTATAATTCCAAGGGGACGAAATGTTCAGTAACCTTTAAACAGCAGCACCCATAAGCTTCTAGGCTGAGCTGCTTCTATTTCTTCCACAAAAGCAGTGGTTTTGTGGATATTTTAGAGAGATTCACACAGTACAACAGCGCAGAGCGAAGTGAAGCATCATTATCCAGCAATGAGCCGATGCGGATGACCTTTTAAATATGTGCAGGTGGAGATTAATTCATATGTAAGAGGAGAAAGCAAAGGAGGGTTTCGAAACCCCAAGCTAGATTACACAGACATGTGTGAAGGTGAATGCCTCATGTTGTGCTGAGCTTCTTTTTCAAAGAAAAATATTTGAATATCAACCTGAAGCAAAATGAATAGCTTATATTTGATGATAGTGCTACATATTTCCATCAATAACAGACTGTAGTAATGGATTTCCTCAAGCATCATGCAACATCCAGGATTAAATATAGAGAACTAAATAGAGAATTCCTTTTAAATTCCATTTCATTTCTAAATGAATGAATGAATAAAAAATCTTCCATCATTTACTCACCTCACCAAATCTGCATGACTTTGTCTCCTGTGGAATTCAAAAAAAGACTGGAGCAACACTGACCCAAATTTACTTTCATTGTAAGACAATTTTCTTTTCTTTTTTTTTGGGGGGGGGGGGAACTGTCCCTTTAAGTAGAATGTACTTTTTTAATAATGTATTTTAGTATAATTTTTCCATTAACATGTTACTCACAACATATGGAGTATTTCCAAAAACATTACAAGATATTAAAGGGGTCATATGACGTTGCTAAAAAGGAACATTATTTGGTGTATTTGGTGTAATGAAATGTGTTTATGCGGTTTAAGGTTAAAAAAACACATTATTTTCCACATACTGTACATTATTGTTTCTCCTCTATCCCCCGCCTTTCTGAAACGCGTCGATTTTTACAAAGCTCATCGTTCTGAAAAGCGAAGTGTGCTCTGATTGGCCAGCTATCTAGTGCGTTGTGATTGGCCGAATTCCTCAAGCGTGTGACAGAAATGTTACGCCCCTTACCATACTGTGATGCCCTGTCCCGGCGTTGAAAAGGGAGCAACTTATAAAAATTATAGTTGTTCATATAATATATATAATTTATAATTTTTGAAAAAGAAGCAGAATAAGACAATAAGACAAATACGAAAGAGATACAAATTAAACTAATTTTTCAGATACAGTAGGTTTACTTAACATTTATTTAACCTCTTTTGTTGGTTAGGGTTAATGACACGGATAGGTAGGAATGCTGTCCCTTTAAGACGGAAGGCATGCATGTAATACTGACACGCGTTCAGTTTTTACCCACCTGTATACGTTCACTTAATCCATAACCGACTGTATTTACTTGAGATACTGTACACGATAAACATTTAGACTGCTGTGTGTGTATTTGAGCACTGAGAACTGATTGTGCGCTGTCTATGAGACCGGAAGAAGTGGAGCGTGCGCGAGAGAGAGCACTTCTATC